GTAGTAGTAGTAGTAGTAGTAGTAGTAAGAGTAGTACTAGTAGTAGTAGTAGTAGTAGTAGTAGTAGTAGTAATAGTAGTCGTAGTAACAGTAGTAGTAGTGGTGGAAGTATGGGTCGTAGTGGAAGTAGTAGTAGTAGTCGTAGTCGTAGTTGTAGTAGTCGTAGTCGTAATCGTGGTGATCGTAGTGGCAGTCGTAGTAGTAGTCGTAGTCATAGTCGTAGTGGTAGTAGTAGTAGTAGTAGTAGTAGTAGTAGTAGTCGTAGTCGTAGTCGTAGTCGTAGTCGTTGTCGTAGTAGTAGTAGTAGTCGTAGTAGTAATAGTAGTAGTAGTGGTAGTAGTAGTAGTAGTAGTAGTAGTAGTAGTCGGTGTGGCCGCAGTAGGGGTCCTAGTCGTAGTATTATTGGTAGTAGTCGTGGTAGTAGTAGTGATGGTGGTAATAGTAGTAGTAGTAGTAGTAGTAGTCGTAGTCGTAGTCGTAGTAGTAGTGGAAGGTGGCAGTAGTAGTCGTAGTAGTAGTAGTAGTAGTAGTAGTAGTAGTAGTAGTAGTAGTAGCAACTGTAGTTGTAGTCCTAGTCGTAGTCGTGGTCGTGGTCGTAGTATCAGTAGTAGTAGTGGTAGTAGTAATCGTAGCAGTGGTGGTGATAATGGTTGTAATTGGTAGCCGTAGTGGTAGTAGTAGTAGTAGTAGTAGTAGTAGTCGTAGTAGTAGTAGTCGTAGTAGTAGTAGTAGTAGTAGTAGTAGTAGTCGTAGTGTAGTAGTAGTAGTCGTAGTAGTAGTAGTAGTAGTAGTAGTAGTAGTAGTAGTAGTAGTAGTAGTAGTGGTAGTAGTAGTAGTAGTAGTAGTAATAATAATACCATTGGTAATGCGAGAATGAGGAGGAGGAAGGGGGGGTAGGAGGAGGAGGAGGAGGGAAATTAATAGGAGGAGGGACCCACGCCAAAATTATCAACGCACACAAAACAGCTCAAACACCATTGAACCACCAAAACCATAAAAGCAACCATTCAACCATTCATCCACATCCTCCTTTCCCTCCTCGTCCTCGTCGTCCAACACCGCCTCCCCATCCTCCCCCTCCTCCTCCTCCTCCTCGCCATCATCACCGTCGTCATCAGCATCGGCATCATCAACATCTTCATCAGTAACATCACGCCCATCATCATCAGCATCGCCATCATCGTCACCGTTGCCACCGTCGTCATCACCAGCACCAGCCACGAGATGGCAACCAACATCCTTGAGGCCTCGAACACGCCACCCAAGCTCAGTGGCAGGATAGGCCGAAGGCAAGCAGAACTGTGTATGATAGCTGCCGTCACGCCGTGCGCTGCACTCGGGGGCCGCTGGTGGCAGCCTGTACACACCTGTAGGCCACCAACAACCCAACCAACAAGCCAACCAACAAACAAGCCAACCAGGGAACGAACCAACCAACCAGCCAACCAGCCAACGATCCAACCAACGAACCGGCCAACCAACCAGCCAACGAACCAGCCAGCCAGCCAACCAGGCCACCAACCAACTGCCAGCCAGCCACGAGGGGGCGGAGCGTGCCGAGAGGCATCTCTGAATAAGGCTGGCGGTGGCGGCACGCAAAAATGCAATCCGCGAGCGGGCGGGCCCCTCGGCATGTGAGATGGCGCAGGCCTGTAGGCCAACCAACAAGCCAACCAACAAGCCAATCAGGGAACGAACGAACCAACCAACCAACCAGCCAACGAACCAACCAACGAACCGGCCAACCAAGCAACCAGCCAACGAACCAGCCAGCCAGCCAACCAGGCCACCAACCAACTGCCAGCCAGCCACGAGGGGGCGGAGCGTGCCGAGAGGCATCTCTGAATAAGGCTGGCGGTGGCGGCACGCAAAAATGCAATCCGCGAGCGGGCGGGCCCCTCGGCATGTGAGATGGCGCAGGCCTGTAGGCCAACCAACAAACCAACCAACCAGCAAGGCAGGCAACCAACCAGCCAACCAGCCAACGAGCGAGCCAACCAACCAGCCAACCAGCTAAAGAACCAGCCAGCCAGCCGACCAGACCACCAACCAACTGCCAACCAGCCAGGAGGGGGCGGAGCGTGCCGAGAGGCATCTCTGAATAAAGCTGGCGGTGGCGGTGGCGGCCTTCGGATTCATAAGGATCCCTAAAGGTTCCTTGGGATCCCTAAAGATTCCGAAGGACCCCTAAGGATCCGTCGGCCTAAGAATTTCTCCGTCGGCCTAAGGATCTCTCAGGATTCCTATGGGTTCGTAAAGATTCCTAAGGATTCCTGAAGGAATCCGGGGGAATCCGGAGGAATTCCGAATGATCCTAAGGAATCCTAAGGATCCCAAGGAATCCCAAGGATCCCCAGGAATCCTAAGGATCCTAAGGAATCCTAAGGGTTCCTCAGGAACCCGAAGGAATCCTAAGGATTCCAAAGGAAACGAAGTACTTCTGAAGAAGAAAGAAGTACTTCTGAAGAAGAAGAAATACTTCTGAAGAAAAACAATACTTCTGAAGATCCCATGGTTGTAATTGGTCCTTTTTTTCTGGTTGCAATTCGCTCCGAACGGTTGGAATTGGGACTAGTCGGTTGTACTTCGTCCCATTTCGGGGTTCACCCCCCCCCCGTGGGAGAGAGGGGGTTCGGGAGGGGGGCGGTTGGCGGGGTCGACCCCCAAATTCAAAACGCGCCGCCGAATGTTCCCAAGGCAAGCGCCCGTGAAACGCGTTCTCTCCCTCATGCGGACCCTGCCACTGGAGCCTTCGGTGGAGCTCCTTGTGGGGCCACGAAGCGCTGTCCTGGGTGGAGTTGACGCTTGCAGACCCTGCCACTGGAGCCTTCGGTGGAGCTCCCTATGGCGCCACGAAGAGCTGCCCTGGCTGGCATTGGCGCATGCGGACCCTGCCACTGGAGCCTTCGGTGGAGCTTCCTGAGGGGTCACGGACCGCTGTCCTGGGTGGCGTTCCCGCACGCGGGCCCTGCCGCTGGAGCCTTCGGTGGAGCTTCCTAAGGGGTCACGGACCGCTGTCCTGGGTGGCGTTCCCGCACGCGGGCCCTGCCGCTGGAGCCTTCGGGGGAACTCACTGTGGGGCCACGAACCGTGTGAGGGGTGAGCCGAAATTGGCCGCGTTCCCGCTTGCGGACCCTGTCACTGGAGCCTTCGGTGGAACTCCTTCTGGGGCCACGAAGCGCTGTCCTGGGTGGCGTTCCCGCATGCGGACCCTGCCACTGTAGCATTCGGTGGAGCTGCCTTTGGGGCCACGAACCGTGTGAGGGGTGAGCTGACATGGGTGGCGTTGGCGCACGCGGCCCCTGCCACTGGAGCCTTCGGTGGAGCTCCTGGTGGGGCCACGAAGCGCTGTCCTGGTGGAGCTGACGCATGCGGGCCCTGCCACTGAGACCTTCGGTGGAGCTCCCTGTGGGGCCACCAACCGTGTGAGGGGTGAGTCAAAATGAGTGGCGGAGGCGCATACGGACCCTGCCACTGGAGCTTCCTATGGGGCCACGAAGCGCTGTCCTGGGCAGCGCTGGCGCATGTGGACCCTGCCACTGGAACCTTCGGTGGATGTCCCTGTAGGGCCACGAACCGTGTGAGGAGTGAGCTGACATGGGTGGAGCTCCATATGGCGCCACGAAGAGCTGCCCTGGCTGGCGTTGACGCATGCGGACCCTGCCACTGGAGCCTTCGGTGGAGCTCCCTATGGGGCCACGAAGCGCTGTCCTGGGTGGCGTTCCCGCATGCGGACACTGCCACTGGAGCCTTCGGTGGAACTCCCTGTGGGGCCACGAAGCGTGTGAGGGGTGTGCCGAAATGGGCGGTGCGCCCGCATGTGCCACTGGAGCCTGCGGTGGAGCTCCCTATGAGGCCACGAAGCGCTGTCCTGTGTGGCGTTACCGCATGCGGATCCTGCCACTGGAGCCTTCGGTGGAGCTCCCGATGGGGCCACGAACAGTGTCAAAGTTGTGCCGAAATGGGTGGCGTTCCCGGCGGACCCTGCCACTGGAGCCTTCGGTGGAGCTCCCTATGCCATAGGGAGCTCCACCGTCGTCCCAAAGGTCATCTCAATGTTTGCCCCCAGCATCCATTCGCCCAAAGTGCTGGGGATACCTGTCGAGGCGCGGGGATGGATGCAGGGATGGCAAGGAGGACAACGGGGATGGGCGCGAGGACGCCAAGGGGGATGATTGGGGGGACACCGCGCGGAGGCCACAACACTAGCAGCGAACCTTGCAACCCTACGGGGCTACGAAGCGCTGTCCTGGGTGGCGTTGACGCATGCGGGCCCTGCCACTGAGGCCTTCGGTGGAGCTCCCTGTGGGGCCACGAACTGTGTGAGGGGTGTGCCGAAATGGGTGGCGTTCCCGCATGCGGACTCTGCCACTGAAGCCTTCGGTGGAGCTCCTTGTGGGACCACGAAACGCTGTCCAAGGTGGCGTTCCCTCATGCGGACCCTGCCACTGGAGCCTTCGGCGGAACTCCTTCTGGGGCCACGAAGCGCTGTCCTGGGTGGCGTTCCCGCATGCGGCCCCTGCCTCTGGAGCATTCGGTGGAGCTCCCTTTGGGGCCACGAACCGTGTCAGGGGTGAGCTGACATGGGTGGCGTTCCCGCATGCGGACCCTGCCACTGGAGCCTTCGGTGGAGCTCCCTATGGGACCACGACACGCTGTCCTGGGTTGCGTTCCCGCATGCGGGCCGTGCCACTGGAGCCTTCGGTAGAGCTCCCTATGGGGCCACGAAAACGTGCGAGGGGTGTGCCGAAATGATGGACATGCGGAGAGCAGGGGCAATGAGGGGGAGGAGGGGAAGGGGGCAGCGGGAGGAGTGACGCGGGGCACGGTCTCTTCAAAACAAGGACCCAACACCACAGAATGGTTGGGAACAACAATAAAAAGAGAGAGAGAGAGAGGGAGAGAGAGAGAGAGAGAGAACAAAGAGAGAGAGAGAGAGAGAGAATGAGATGGCGCATAAAGAGCTCAGGAATCAACCACGAATTCTTTGGACCTGGTGCCCCCGTGTGAATCACGGCGTGGTTACCTCAGCTGGGCAGGTCTCCTGGCGACCACTGTGGCTCGGAGCTCCTGCGGCGTTTCTTCTTTTTTGTCAGACGACGCACGCTACGTCAATCACCGAAACACATCCGAAACATGACGCGCTTTGACTCCGCGGACATATCGATCGTAGTGGCCCTGTGCATCACGACGTGGTTGTCCCAGATGAGTAGGTCTCCTTCCGCGGGAGGAGGGCATGCACCGACCGACCCCGCCCCCGTTTGTTTGCCCGAAAAGGCGTCAAAGCTGCTGGATGCGGTAGCTGCGGGGAGGCAGAGAGCCGCGGTTTTGGCGGTACGATGACTGTGTGCGACGACGGCATGGGCTGTTGGCACAATGGCAGGTGTGGCTGCTGTGCAAACTCGAGTAAGTTACCCACCCCTGCTATGATGCGTTGGGTCTCGTTCGGATGACGCAGGCAAGAACCTGTCCTACCACGCAATGCCACCGACGCCAAACCCGACGCCGAGCCGGACGCCAAGCCCGACGCCATTGCCACCCGGCGTCGCGCTGTTTCGAACCCGAACCTGACGCCAAGATCACGCCAGACCCGACAATGTCGTAAGCTCAGAAAGCTTGCGGCTGCTCGAGCCCGCCCTGTGGTTGTAACCGTTGGGGGTGCTCAAGCGCGCAAAGCTGCTGGATCTAGCAGCTGCGAGGATGGCTGCGGTTATTTCGAGATTGCAAAATCTGCGCGCGACGGCTACAGTGTTGTTGCTGGCACGGCGGCCTATGTGGATGCAATGCAGATTCGTCTCACGTGATCGAATGCAATAAACACATACGTGTCCAATAACGCACAAGCCGCTGGCCATTGCACGGGGACAACTCTTCCACGTGGCGTGCTTCCGGGGGGTCTCATGCGTTCAACAACAAACGTATGCGATACTAAGTCCTGCTGCAAGAAATATTTGGGCACATTCTTCAACGATATCTGAGCTTCCTGTGGTGCCCAGGTGCTTTTGCGGGTCATCAGGGCCATCGGAGAAGAAGACATTAGCGTGGGGCTGCGGACCGAGGCCGTTAAGCCATCTGGCAGGCTGCAGCGTGGCCCCTAAAGAGACAAGTTTTGCTAATGCTCTAAACGTGACTGGTTCCGACATTGCAATTGCGCACTTCGCCATCATGAGCCATCCCCATCGGCTTCCCTCTGCCGGCCGCTAACTCTCGCGGAACTCACGAGTCACCCTGGCGACGAGCCTCACGGCGCAGATCGCCGGCAACAACAATGCCGAATCCCTTGCCGCCGCGACGGTAGAGGGGAACAATTACCGAACATTCCCCCTCCCCTCCAAACAAGGGTGGCACACGCGGAGGAGACCTCGGTCGAAGTGCAACTCATCAGACCCACCGCCAACTTTGAACATTGGGGTGATGGTGGAGGCGTTGACAAACGAATGTGGCATGAATTCGCTTCATTTTTTCCGAAGCCTGGATTGCTGCAGTGCTTCTGGCCGTTCAGACCGAGGCGAACGAAACTCTGGCTGTTTCTGCCTGGAGTGGAGGAGACCGGTCATCACTGTGGCCCCCGCGCTGACGGCTGTCTGCGCGGGCGCACTGGGCTCGTCTGCGGGAATTACCAGTGCTCCCACGACGGTTCCCGTGATCACTGGGGCCAACCTCGGCGCCGTCGTGGGCACTTGCGACCTGCAGTCGCAGAAAACATACATACATCTTTATTCCCAAGCAGTGCTTGCACTTAGAGGTTCTTAATCGACCTCCAGACCCTTCCAGGGACGCATTCCAAGGATAATCCAGCCGCAGCGGCGAGAGGCCGCCCCAAGGCCCAACAAACACGAGAAACGCCACACAGACCCACACCGCGGTGCATCATGTCGGATGACAATTGGGAAATGCCCTGGGGGATCCCGTCACGCAGCTGAGCCCTGGGCGATACTCAACGAGTTGGGCTTCTGGCCTGCTCTTCAGCGTCGCCGTCGTCAGCGCGATGTTTTGTTCGTCCTTTCCAACAACGTCCCCAACGACAAGAAACTGCTCTGTGAATCGCCGGCGTAGGCGATGCATCGGCGACGTCGGTGCGGAGAGCATCGGGCTCCACATCGAGCCGCATTGTTTGTTTGACCCCATCTGCTCTGCTGATCCCGTTTGGGGCCCGCACCCTGCAGCTGGACCGCTCTCCTGAGCTGGCGCGCAGCCCTTGTGCGACATGGAGGAAACAAGGACAGGAGAAGACGGAAGGGAAATGATAAACTTTGTTTTGGAGGGGATGGGAGCGCGACCCTAGAGCTTCACCCGACTTGGCCTCGACGGCTGTGCGAATCGAAAGGTCGCCTGGCAAACCGGGAGCACCACACGAACCGACCTGCGATAGGCAAACTCATGCACTTAACCGTTGCCCGAGAGAGGAACAAACGTGCCGCATGCGTGAGGAAAGGAAGAAGCGAGGATAGATCGCCACAATCTGGCAATCGACCCACACGTCAGCTTGAACAAACGCGGGAATCGAACAAAGAGAATGGAGAAACTTTGTGCTCTCTTCCTCATCGCCATCTTGCATTAACACCTCGCTCTTTCCAGACCCCCGACGTCGTGTTTTTTCTTACAAGACGTCGACCCCCCGAGGTCTCGCTCAATTCCCCAGGGCCAGCTCTTCATCCCGAATCGATTTTTTGACGGCCATGGGGCCCAGCGAGGGCCGCCCAGCGGCCCAAAACAGCAAAAACACGCCCGTCGTGTTTTTTCACGACGCGTAGGGGTCTGGATTCGACTCGGAATTGGCGACGCATCACCCATAGATCGGCGATAGGCCCTCGATAGCGAAACCGCACGCTCCTGGGCGGGGTGGGCTATGGGGCACCCATCGGTGATCAGTGGGCAATTGGGGGGTCCATGCGTTCCCGCCTGAGCCTACCCCCCCCCCCAACGCTGCCCCTGACTTTCCGCTCCATGGCCTCCGGGCCATGACTCGGGCCTCCAGCGGCAGTCGGAACGATTTCTGCACCCTGGACCTGCACCTTCAGAACGCTCCCGACGAGGCGTGGCTGATGGACACCACCCCAGGCCCCGAGTGCATTTGAAAACTGCCGAAAACGTTCCAACAACTCCCTGAGCCTATCCCCCCTTAGCGTCTAGAGGCCTCTCAATTGAGCTCGAAGTAGATGGGGTCGGAGGATCACGCCGCATCGCCGATGCACCGGCGACGTCGGTGCGACGAACATCGGGCTCCACATCGAACCGCATCGCCGACTCCGAATCCATCTGGGAGGCCGAAGCCTTAGCGCTGCCCACGAGGGCTCCTGGCGACCAGCGGTGCCGGAAGACGAACTCGGGCCTCAGCGCGTGCTCCAGCAGTTCCCTCAGCAGCCCCGCCGCCTCGCAGGGGCGGCTAAGAAGAGGGGGGGGTCCAGGAAGGCGGGCTAGCAAATCACTGCCCGGGGCACGTGCGCGGCCGAGGGGGGGGGGGCTGGGGGACGCATTGAAATAATACTGAGAAGAAGACTAGCATCATTAGAAGAGGGGACCATGAAATCTGGGGAGGTATCGAGGCCCCAGCTGTGAGATTCCCCCCCCCCGGTCCCCTGACCTTCCAGTGCTAACGCATGAGCCTAGGACTCTCCAGTCCTGTAGACCGAAGCAGGACTGCTGGAAACCTCGACTCTGATTCGAACGTCGGCTATCTGTAGCATCTCCTTGAAGGTGAGGGTTTTGAGCTGGATGGGCCGTGAGACAAATCTGTCAAGAAGAGGGGATACGGGCAAATCTGCCACTCCTGGGGTCCCTGGACCCCTTCCGGGGTCCTCCTGGTTTTGGTTCTTCACACCGGATCTGTTTTTGACCGTCCTGTGGCCAGAAAGGGTCCTGAAGGCCGAAACAAACAAGACACCGTCTCGAGCCCAAAACCTCGAACCTGCCCTCCTTCCTACTGGCCGGATCCAGTGCTGGGCCAGAGTGGCCCAGCACTGGATCCAGCCAGTAGGCTCCAAGTGATCACAATCGTTGCCGTCTTCCTTCTTCTCCTCATCCTCCTCCTCCTGAGGTGGAGCAGGGGCGACAATCCTCATGCTACTGCTGCCCTGGCTCCTCTAGCTGGTCCTCTCGCGTATCATCCTCGTCCTCGCCCTCCTCTTCTGCTCTGTTCCTCCTCCTCCTCCTCTTTTTCCTCCTCCTCCTCTTTTTCCTCCTCCTCCTCTTTTTCCTCCTCCTCCTCCTCCTCCTCTTTTCCTCCTCCTCTTTTTCCTCTTCCTCCTCTTTTTCCTCCTGCTCTTTTTCCTCCTCCTCTTTTTCCTCCTCCTCCTCCTCCTCCTCCTCCTCCTCCTCCCCCTCCTCCCCCTTTCTCCTCGTCCTGCTCTTCCTGGCAGCAGCCCCACCGCCTCCGCGCGCGCGGGCCCATCTGGGACGTCGGGGCCGCGCAAATCCGCCACCGCGCCCATGCGGCGAGGGCCTGCCCGTGCCCTTGGCGCCAGGCCCAGGCTGGATGCCCAGCCGTGGGGAGGCAGCTCCGCGAGAGGTCTTCGCGCCCAGGTTGGACGCCAGAGGTATCCGGGCTAACTCTGGTCCTGGGCTACTGCCGGTCTGGGCCCCCGACGCACGAACCAGGCATTACCCCTGACCAAATTCCCATACCCGATGATTCCGGATGGTTGGGCGCCCGAGGTATCGGGATAACTCCGGTCTGGGGCAACTCTAGTTTGGACCCCGACGCGCAAAAGAGGAGCTACCCCTGACCATCCCCAGCTCTGATGATTCGGGGCTCAGGCCACATCTCTGACGATCTGTTTTCCCCCCACCACATCCAATTTTCTCAGCACGCCCCCCGCGCAGGATCTCCTCCTCCTCCTCCTTCTCCTGCTCCCTCTCTTCCATACTCACACTCACGCATTCATGGACTCACGAACTCACAAACTCATCACCATCACCATCACCGTCACCATCACCATCATGATCACTATCACCATCACCATCACCGTCATCATCACCATCGCCATCACCAGCATCATCCTCCTTCTCCTCATCATCATCAGCATCAGCATCACAATAATAATAATCATCATCATAAATATCATCATTATCCTCACCACCACGATCATCATCATTACGATCACCATCGCCCACACACTCAATCACTCACATTCATTCACCACTCACTCACTCATCACCATGCCATGCTCAACACCATCGTCCTCATCACTACGGCCAACATCGTCATTAACATCGTCACCGCTACAACCGCACACACACACGCATACACACACACACGCCCACACTCATCATCATCTTCATCAGCATCCCATCATAATCGCCAGCCATCCTCATCCCATCATGTGGAAGTCTCGAGCGGAAGCTTCGTCTGTGTGAATTGCGAGGAAGTCTCAGACGGGAGCTGCCTCCCTATGGGGCACGCAGCTCATGCTACTAATCCGAGCGGGCCATCGGGATCCTGTAAATGTCGTCACTTTTGGCTCATCAAGCTTGACTATGGAGGAACTCTCAGGTGGTAGCCTCGTCTGTGATTGAATCGCGATGAAATCTCACGCGGAGGGCACTGCATATGGGTCCCGCAGCTCATGTTACTAATTCGGGCGGGTCATGTGAAAATTGTAGGTATCGCCATTTTGGCCTGTTCAAACGTGAGCATGGGGGAAGTCTCAGGCGGAAACCTCGTGTGTGAGTGGATTGCGAGAAAGTCTCAGGCGGGAGCTGCCTCCCAATGGGGCCCGCAGCTCATGCCAACAATCCGAAGGGATGATCGGGATCCTGTAACCGTTCTCACTTCTGGCCTCTGGAAGCTTGGCTATGAAGAGAACCTAGACTGGGGGACACGTCTGCCTCAGGCTGGAGCCTCGTCTGTGAATGAATTGCGAAGAAACCTTAAACGGGGGGGCCCTCCATATGGGGCCCGCGGCTCATGTTATGAATCCGAGCGAATCATCGGAATCCTGTGAGTATCGTCACTTTGGGCCTGCCCAAACTTGAGAACGGAGGAAGTTTTAGGCGGGAGCCGCGTCTGTGAATGACTTGCGAGGAAGTCTCAGGCAAGAGCCCCCTCTATATATGGCCCGCAACTCATGTTTGCAATCCGAGCGGGTCATTCACCCCTTAACCGTTGTCACTTCTGGCCTTTTCAAGCTTGAACATGAAGAACATCTAAAGCGGGAGCCACGTCTGCGTGTGAATTGCGCAGAAGCCTCAGGCAGGACCTCCTCCTCATGGGGCTGCGTATCATGTTGCTAATCCGAGCGGGCCCCCGATGGAGAAAATGCGAGCGGACAAGATGTTTCCACAGCTGGTGCCAACAAGCGGATGCCACCACCCACCTGAGTTGAATTTAAAGACAGCGTGATGAGGCTAAAGAGGCAGGAGGACGAGGAGGAGGAACATGAAAGAGGACGGGAGGCTGCCTTGCACGCGGACGATCGGCCGCATGGCCGTGATAAAATGTGGGGAGGATAATGACAGGGACAACGATGCCGTTGTAACTGTCTTCGCTTTTGCTTCGTCAAGCTTGAGCATGGAAAAAGTCTCCGGCGGGAACCTCGTGTATGAGAGAATTGCGAGGGAGTCTCAGGCGGGAGCACCTCCGTATGGGGCCCGCAACTCACGTTCCGAATCCGAGCGGGCCGTCGGGATCCTGTAATGTTTTCACTGTTGGTCTTTTCTGGATACGAAAATGGGGGAATTCTCGGGCGGGGGCCCCGTGTGTGATTGACTTGCGACGAAGTCCCAAACGGGACTCCCGATGGGGCCCGCAACTCATGCTACTAATCCGAACCGGTCATCGGGATATTGTTGCTGTCCTGCCTTATGGGCCCCCTCGTCCATGAGGGTCCCGCAAAAACGTCTCGAGCGGGACCAAGTCTGCTCGTCTGCGAGAACATCGCGAATGAATTTTCGGCGGGGCCTTATCCCGATGGGATTTTGGCGGACACAGCTTTGACGCTCACGTTCCAAGGGGCAAGTGGCGGAAAACAAATGCCGACGGGTTGTGCAGAGCATGTCGCCGACGAGTGGCCAGCGACTTGGCGCAGGGAACCGAAGGCGCTGACGACGACGGCGAGGCCGAGGCGCTGGCGAAGAGCTTGCTCATGCTCAGGCCTAGCGACCAAGGGCTCGCGTGGCAAAGCTCGGGGCCGCACGTCGAGCGCCGCTCGGGGTTCGCCCTGACGCACGCGTCCTACCTGAATCCCACGCTGTCGCGGAGTTGGGCGCCGCGCAAGGGCGTCACCGTCGACTGCGCAACGGATGGGGGCGCTGGTCGCGCAGGCACGTCTGACAACCAATGCTGGCTGCACCTCTGCGTCATTCTTCCGCGCCGCGCGCATGCGGAATCTGCTGATCCTGCGGCCGCCCACGCGAAACTTCTGGGAACGCGGGCCGCCGGGTTCCCTGCGCGGAATACTCCAGGGGGTGAGGCGGAGCAGCTAACGGCTAAACTGTTGGGTTTCCCGCTACCTCCCGCCTCAGAACGCTTGCGACTACCTCGAAACATGCGGAGTTGTCCTAACGGCTTGCTCCCGCGCCCCAGCGGCTCGCGGGGTTGCCCCAACTGCCTGGCCCGCGGGTTTGCCCCAACGGTTTCGCCCATCGGAGAACGCGCCCATGCCGGCCGTGGCGGCCGTGGCACCCAAGAAAATTGCGTGCCCTTGATAGAGTCGCGGGGGAAGAAATGGATGGGGAGAGAAAACAGGAGGACGAGGACAATGCAGAGCAGGGGGCGGGAAGAGGGCCCCCACCAGGACGAGAAGGAAAAGGGCGACGACGCGAGGAGAAGACGAGACGAGAGCCTCTGCACTCACAGTGACGACGATGAGGCTTACGTCCTTCTTACTTCGGGGGATTCTCATGTGGGGTCCTACGGATGGAATAATTCAATGCGGGCGTTTTCCTTTGATTTCGGCCTCTGGGACCCGTGATGGGCCTGGGGGTGGTCATCGCCAATGGGCCTGGGACGGAAAGCCGCCTCCGGGGAAAAGGTCGGGAGCTCTGAGGCCGCGCAGTGAACCGGACTTTGAATTCCTGGTGTCGCAATCGCTTCGCACCCAGCAATTTCGGCTCGCTTCGGGCGACGCGACTCTCGCGGATCATTCCAGCGCGACAAGCACCGCGCAAAGCTGGGGTCCACGGTGCCCTTGGCGCCGAACCAGGTGCCCGACCGTCGGGAGGCAACTTTTGGCTCAGACGTCATTCCGCCGTGAAAAGAAAACGCGACTGGACACATGCTGCTAAAGGGGCCCCCAGCCTAAATTCGACGACCCCCTTGAACTTCGAATTTCGGGGATTGACGCTTTTGGGGCCTTGGGGGGCTTGTCGTCGCGACGGCTGGATGCGCACCCGAATTCTGGTCCCAGCGCGCCACAAGAGATCTGGGGGTCCGGTTTGCATGCAAGCCGCGGGCCCAAACCCCCTCGCGTCGCCAAAAAACGCGACGGGAGGTCCACTGCTATTTTCGATATCTGGGGGCCCTCGTCGGGCCCCGGGGCTGTCCGTCAAACGAGTCGGGGTGAAAAGCTTGTCCCGGGGAGTGGATCGAGAAGCCAGAGCCAAGGCGCGATCGAACCAGGACAACTCGGGGATCTCTGACATGCGGCAATTCTGGACGAAGCTGCCGGAAACAACCCAACGCGGTCCAAGACGGCCCCAAGACGGCCTAAGGCAGCCCGGGGCGGCCCAGGAGGCTTCCATACCGTCGGAAAGCACTCCAAGAGGGCCTAAATGGGGCGCCCAATAAACCCTGAAGGGGAGGTCCAATAGAGCCCCAAGAGCATCCCAACGGAACCGCAAGAGGCAAATACAGACGTTTGAATGTTTTCGTCGTCGCCATCGTCGTCGTTGTCGTCGCCGCCATCGTCGTCGTTGTCTTCGTCGTCGCTATCACCGTCACCGTCTCCGTCACCGTCTCCGTCGCCGTCGCCGCCGCCGTCGCCGTCGCCGTCGCCGTCGCAGTCGCCGTCGCCGTCGCCGTCGCCGTTGCCGTCGCCGTCGCCGTCGCCGTCGCCGCCGCCGTCGCCGCCGCCGTCGCCGACGCCGTCGCCGTCGCCGTCGCCGTTGCCGTCGCCGTCGCCGTCGCCGCCGCCGCCGCCGTCGCCGCCGCCGCCGTCGCCGCCGCCGTCGCCGACGCCGTCGCCGTCGCCGTCGCCGCCGTCTTCGTCGCCGTCGTTGTCGTCGTCGTCTTCGTCGTCGTCGTCGTCCTCGTCTCCCTTCAGTGTCAGCGGCGCTGGTCGTAGATCCCTCGCAAACGAACAGGGACAGAACGGGGATCTCGGGTATCTGCGGTTCTGCGCGACGCGTCGGGCGCCGCGGCCTTTTCCAGAACGCTCCTGAGCGCTCTGAAAACATTCCAGAGCGAATCGTCCTGACCTTGGGCCCGGCGCAAGGAAGCAACTCCGGGGAGGTCTTCGCGAGCGTGATGGTAGTGCGAGTGGATCGCTCGGGTGCGCGATAAGGGCGCGAGGCCCTCGGGCGCCCAAACTGAAGCCGACGTTGGGTGCCCGGGGTGTAGAGGCGTTGGCGCGTCACCGAACCTACTTCAGCAGGCTTTTAAAGGTTGGTCGTGGCGTTTAATGGCTCCGTTTTTTTTGTGGTTCCTGGTCTGCGCGCCCGGATGCCACGCGACGTTATCAAGCATCCTTACTATGCGATGGTCACATGCAACGTGCAAGCGTTGAAAGCGAGGTGCAGCGCGCGGTCGAATCCACCTCGCGACCCCCGAAACATTTTACTGCCATCCAACAAACGCGAGCGAATTACTGCGTTTCGCAGCGCGCCCGCGCGCGCAAACAGGCGGAAGTCCCAATCGGATGGGCAAAGTTATCGGCCGAAGGCGCGGAAGCAAAGGAGGTGGGACAAAGACAAGCAAAGGAGAGCATGGGGGCAGGGAGGACAAGGGGAGGGGGGGGGATGCGAGAGCTTGGAGGACGGGGGAAAGGATCGAGGGCGGCAGATCTAACTCCCCCGCCCCCCGCCCCTCCCGACTCCACCTCCGCCTCGTCCTCGGCGTCTGCTTGTTTTCTTTCCCTCGTCCCTCCCCCTTCCCCCCGCCCCCCCCCCGCCCCCCCGCCCGCTTCTCGGCGCGGGCGCGGGCGGTCCTGCCGCGGGGGGGGGGCGGAGTTGCAGGGCGGGCGCGGGTGCGCGGCCGCGTCTCCCTCGCCCTCGCGCCCCCCCCCCCCGCTGCCGACCTCCGCCCGCCGCCTCGAGAAACCCTCGGGCGGGCGG